TGGCTCAGCAGCCAAAGATGGGAAATCTTTTCTCCCTTTTCCATACCAAACCTGATTTCTTCACATTCTGAAGGAGGGCTTTGGGAGGGACCAAACCTTTATGGTAGTGGTGGTAGTTGGGGCAGGGCGGGTGCCAGGTAGGAGCCTGGCAGCCTGAGCCCTATACCTTCGGGGTTCAGACAATCAGATCTCTCCAGCCCAAAGAGAAAGCACAGCCCTCCAGATGGAAAGCTATGTGAAGGTCCATGAACAACCCCTGGGCCCAGGAGAGACAAGATCAACCATGGCCAATACCTGCCCCCAACTGCCCTGGCACCTCTCTGGCAAAGCTGCAAATCCTCACTCTACTTCTTAGAAGGGTGCCTGCTAGTCCCCTGTCCAGATGGGAAATCAGGAGACATTAACAGAAGAACACAACAAACGCCCTGGAGGGCAGCACCCACTGCCCTGATCTAATGAGCTGCCAGTGTGAGCGAGGCAGCCAAGGCCCAGAGCCCAACTGGTGAGAGCTCCTGGAGCAGACCCTGAAGTAAGCCCTGAATGAGAAGGGGGTACCCACATGAAGAGCTAGGGAAGAGACAGCAAGCTGAGGTAACGAATGTGAAAGTGGGAGGTAAGGGGGGGGGTCTGTAGGTGTGGGCCCCACAAAGACACAGAGCTGACTACTGTGAGGGCAGGGAGAGGAGATGGGGAGCCTCGGTGCTCAAGCTGGGGTACACAGTTTATAGACTTTCCTGCATGAGTAGTGCAAGTCCTAGGTGGTTCAACAAGGCAAGGTCTGACCCAGGCTCCTGAGGAACCCTTTCACCGCTATGTGACTGTTGGTTAAGAAGGGGTCAGGGAACGGAGAGGGAGGAAAAGGGACCCTGGAGGAGGCACTGCTGCCATCTAGAAGACAGCACCAGGGTGAATACTGGGTGGGTGGCATGACAAAGTAAAGAATGGAGAGGTCTGAGATGTATCTGGAGACACATCCCTGATCCACATATCTGTCTGGAGAGAGGTCCCAGTGCATGCTGGGCCCTTCCTATCTTCTGTTGAACAACCAGTGGCTTTCAATGCTGCTCACTGGATCCCTCACAGCCATAGCTGGACCTTCCCTGGGACAACTGCACTTATTTGGTCATGTGCAACCTGGTGTCACACTCCACCGAACTCTCCCTAGCAAGCTTCACTATAACCTAGACTGGTGCCCAGCCATCACTAAATCTTGCAGCAAACCCTCTCTGTGGGGAAGGCTGGATGATACTTCTCCTCACTCAGCTCTGATAGGGGGCACACAGGGCAAGAGTAATTCCCTCCTTGGCTCCCAGGAGTCCTGCTTAACCTCTCACTCCTGCTCCGCCAAGGGTTCACTGCACGGCTTTCAGCCTGGACTTCAACACAGGAACACAGAGGGGAACCCAGAGGTCTAAGGATGAGTCCTGTGTCTCCCTTTACTAGCCAAACAGGAACAGCTGTTGGGTTCACCAGATGAGCACATATACAAGTACCAGAGAGCTGCAGGAACTTGGGACAGGGAAATGTGACTTCTGCCATGGACAAAAGCCTAGGCTTAAAAAAACAAGACCAAAACAAACAAAACAAAACAAAAAAAAAGACAAAACAAAAACAAGCCGAGATGTAATTCACATACCATAAAGCGCACCACTTTAAAGCATCTGATTCTGTGGCTTTAGTAGCTATGGAAGGCTGTGCAATAGTCATCACTATCTCATTCTGTGACATCTTCATTACCCCAAAAGAACCCCCCCAATTCTCAACCACCTGAAAACCCAACCACTAAGCTGTCCTATCTGTTCTGGATTTTGCCATTTGGATGATTTGCCATTCCATGTCCAAAAAAGCCCATAGAAGGGGCCCAAAGATTCATGTTGCCTCTGTCCTGTTTGGGAAAGCACCATCATGCAAAGCCATTTGCCTGAGTTTCCCTAAGGAATGACACCTTACTCAGTCCAGCATATTAGTCTGTTCCCCACTCTGTTCTGAGTCTCAAATCAGAGGAAACAAGATTTAAAAAAAAAAACAAACAAAAAAAAAACAAGCAGAAGCCTGCTGCCAAGCCTGACATGACAACCTGAGTTTGATCCCTGGAACACACATAGAAGAAGAAAAACTACTCCCCCAAGTTCTCTGACCCCCCTGACACACATGCAGCAGCATGCATGAGTACACACACATACATGAATATAGAAACAAACAAAAAACCCCACACAATCCCTAGCTATTGGTCTGGACCACTAACTGCCTACAAGCCAACAAGAGATGCCCCACCAGCACCGGTTGAGGAGTCAACTTTGACCAATTTCCCATTCCGAGAGAAGGTGTAAAAGAAGCCAAAACACCAAAAAAACTATTTGGGCAGGGGGTGAGAGTATGTGTTCCATGGCAGTTGGCAGTGAGTCAGGCATTTGGCTCATTGCTCTGGGCAAGGCCCAAGCTGGCCTGTTTAAGATGTCTCCAATGTGGTAGCCATGTGGGCAGAGAAGGTCCCTGGAGCAGGCTTTCCCTGATACCGAGGAGGCCTATCCATTTGTCTTGTGCATCTCAACATAACCACTGATGTCTTGTATGCGTTCAGGAAAGACTGGGAAAAGAGAGAGGAGGCCTATGTCCAAGGCCAGTCAGCAGGGCATGAGCAGCTTATCCTCTGTATTGCTACAGAGGAGTGTGGGAAAGGATGAGCTTTGGCAAAAGACTCCCCGCCCCAGGGCCCTTGCAAGTCACTCCTTACCTGCTAGGAGAATGAGGGCGTCTCTCCCAGCACCACACAAGTAAGCCTTGAAGTCAGGTGACAAATGTGCTCCCAAACCATGGGATGACCAACTTTGCTTTGCAAAACCAATCTCTACTTGAAACACCCACACAGTTCTTCACAGGTTGCAAGCTACTTTTACTTTTTTTTTTTAACCTTTTATTTGTTATGTGTTCTATCAGATTTGCTTCAGAGACTCTCTCATGCCGCGTGGTGGTGGCGCAAGCCTTTAGTCCCATAGTCCCAGCACTCGGGAGGCAGAGGCAGGTGAATCTGTAAGTTTGAGGTCAGCTTGGGCTACAAAGCTACACAGAGAAACCCTGTCTCGAAAAACCAAAGGGGGGGGGAGCACTCTCTCAGGCCAGGAAGATGGCTTAGCAGCTAAAGACACTTGTGCAAGCCTGACGATCTGAGTTCCATCCTCAGAACCCATGTCAAAGTGGAGAGAACAGACTTCACCAAATTATCCTGAGTGTGTATGCTCTCATATACATCACACACATGCACACACACATAATAAAAGATAGTCTCTCTACACTCATGCACATCTATCCCCCTAACCCAGCATCCCTCCAACACAAGCCCCTGCTTCTCTCTAGCCGTGCTCAGCCACTGATGCCATGGTCAAGAAAATCAGTACCAGAGCCTGTCCTCCCCCATCTAGTGTTACCAGAAGACAGTGGCTGAGAAAGAAGGCAGGGGGACAGTGACACAGATATCCATCTGTTGTAGTTTGAGAAGAACTCCAAAGCAAAATCCACACAGTCCTAAGCCAGGTGAGTGCTACTGGTCGTGACTGTGAGAACCCACTGTTCTCCAATGCTGGCACCTCTAGGTGTCTCCTGACTCTGGCTCAATCTGTGAGTGAATCCCCAAATCACACTGTCCTCTCCCTTTACTGCTGTGCAGTTCTTAAAGCCTACCCTGCTAGCCAGGTCCTGGGTTTTTTGTTTGTTTGTTTGTTTTTATGTCTGGTCACAGTTACCACAGTGAGCCTAGTCCCAGCCCAAATAATGTTTGCCAGTGATATCAAAGTTGTAGATTATGCCAACTGGCCCCCAGATCAATGGCTTTACACCCATTAGGGGATTTTAAAAGGTTATCTTTGTTAAGCATTGCTTGTACAAGGGACAAGTACCCAAGCAAGTGGCAGTGTTGGGAGTCAGCCACCTCTTCACATATAAGTGAAGAGGTGGCTGACTCCCACACATATAATATTCACCTCATATACCAAGCCATCCTAGAGCAGAAAGGCAGGCACAGACCACACAGCCGACACGAAGAACTTGCAGGTGAAGAATGGGAGGTCCAGACCCCCTACCCCACCTTCCTGGCAGTGAACTTTGCCAAAGCTTGCTTCTGGAGAACAGCCTGCATCTACTGTCTCACCTCCAACAAGCTTCAATAGGAAGCTGCTTTTAGAGCATCCTGTCTTCCGCATGGACCCTGCCACTAGCCATCAGAGCCTTTAGCCTGGGCCCCGACCTGCACTGGGTTTATGGCTACACCCAATGGATGTCCATGCTTTCCACACACCCTAGCCCCCAATTGAGCACAGTCTGGAAGCCTCGTAGGGACTTTTCAAAGGTTGCATTTTGCTGGTAACCAGCTCAGAAACAGCAACTCGTGCGTTATCTACAGCAAAGGGCCAAAGTTCTGGCTCATGATGAGCACAACCATGTCACAAAGACCCCTAACCAACACCCTTCCTGGTGTGTGTGTGTGAGGCCAGGCCAGCCTGCTCAAAACCCACACCGTGTGGCAAGGGTCCCTAGCAAGGGCTTATGTATTGCCAGTAGGGACACAGTTGACCAGGGAAGGTAGCTCCTGAGACACAAGTAGGAAACAGAAAAGATTAGGTCTACCTCTTCTACTCACCAGGGCTCCCTTGCTTATCTGGAGAGAGCTAACCGCAAAGCTCTTGCTCATGGCATGCACAACACGCTAGGGAAGTATATGGGCTCAGCTTAAAGCAGTTTTCAGAAGACCCCGACCCCCAACACCCAGCCCCATCATGGTCCAACATAGGCACCTGCTTGAGAAAGCTGGGAGGACATAGGCCAGGGGAGGGAGCCCAGGCACCCCTTCAGAGTTCTCCTTTTGGGTCAGACTCCACTGAGTGTGACTGGGAAAAGAGCATCTAGGAATTCTCATCTGGGCAGAAGTCCCTTTTTGTCCAAGCTTCATCTGCATAGACAAGGAGTTAGCCAGCCCATTACTGGGCCTGTCTGCTGGGGTCACTTACCAGCGGGGGTTGAGACTGAGGGTGCTGCCCTGCTCCCGAGGCTGGTGGGTAGTGCATAAGCAGATTGAAGGCAGAGTAGACAGTCTCTTTGTACATGCCGCTGG